ACGTGATGAGACGGCTATGTTCATTTCTTGCGTGTCCTATTTATGAAGATATACGCTCATATTATTTTCCCTATTAAGACTTTATTACTGGTAATAATCGTAAAGACATACTAGTTAGAATGTTAAACTCTTCTGATGTAAACTGTCTTGAGAACTTAACCAATTATGTTAAAGATGCTATCTGTCTTCGTTCTTCTTACCTGTTAATATTATTTCATGCAGCACTTGATGTGAAACTAAATTATATATATACATATATACCCATTATATACATAAATTATGTATATCTGTACGTTGGCCCGAGGCCTTATTACCGAATAAACTGATTGATTGATTTGAAATTAATCTTCTGTACATTTTGGATGTCCATGCTTTCTGCTTTAACTAATTAAGTTAAAGATCGGTTTGGGGAATGGTCGGTGTTTAGTTTTATTGAAGTCCATACATGTTTGAAAACTATTTGTTGGATTACCTTGTCAAACATGTCAAACAGTTTTCCGCCATGACGGACATGTTTTATGTTCCAAGTATTCCCCTTTAATACACTGCGACGTCACACATGGTCTACACCGTTGGCAGCATTCAAGTAGTAGTATCCTCAACCGCTGCATATCCTATCTAACCTAACCATTATCAGATCAAGAGCAGAATGAGACATAGGTATATCCTGACCATACGATCTACGATAGCAGTTACACACCTATACCCTGACCATACGATCTACGATAGAAGTTACACACCTATACCCTGACCATACGATCTACGATAGCAGTTACACACGTATACCCTGACCATACGATCTACGATAGCAGTTACACACGTATACCCTGACCATACGATCTACGATAGCAGTTACACACGTATACCCTGACCATACGATCTACGATAGCAGTTACACACGTATACCCTGACCATACGATCTACAATAGCGGTTACACACCTATACCCTGACCATACGATCTACGATAGAAGTTACACACGTAAACCCTGACCATACGATCTACGATAGCAGTTACACACGTATACCCTGACCATACGATCTACGATAGCAGTTACACACGTATACCCTGACCATACGATCTACGATAGCAGTTACACACCTATACCCTGACCATACGATCTACGATAGCAGTTACACACGTATACCCTGACCATACGATCTACGATAGCAGTTACACACCTATACCCTGACCATACGATCTACGATAGCAGTTACACACGTATACCCTGACCATACGATCTACGATAGCAGTTACACACCTATACCCTGACCATACGATCCACGATAAGTGCATACGTATATCGTCATAATACGATGTATGATAAGCGGTTACACACGTATATGCTGACCATACGATCTACGATATCAGTTACACACGTATACCCTGACCATACGATCTACGATAAGTAGTTGCATGCGTATATCGTCATAATACGATGTATGATAAGCGGTTACACACGTATATCCTGACCATAGGATACAAGATAAGCAATGGTTCAAGTATATCCTGATCTGATGCCAGTATGATTTATCTTGATAAAATGATAGAAAGAAAGTAGGAGTCAAGACGCATTTTCAATCCCGAAACCAGCAGCAACTGGTACTAAGATTATAAGGTATCATTCACGTAGCATGTGAGGATACAACCCTAATACATCCCGACAATATCACTCATGTAGGTCTATTACACTGACCATATGTCATAAGAAGAATCAGGCTATATCGGTCCATGTACTACAAGAACAACCATGATATATCGCAATATCTGCCCATGTGCGACAAGACGTATATCGTAATATTAAACGACATTTCTGAAGAATAATTATGTATATCGTAATATCTAACCATATGCCACAAGACGAATCATGACATATCGTGATATCTAACCATATGCCACAGGAAGAACCATGATATGTCGTACTATATGTCCATTGTCACTCGAAGAAACGTAATATATCGTTCTATCTAACCATATGCCACAAGAAGAATTATGATTTATCGTAATATCTAATCATATGCCACAAGATGAATTGTTATGTATTGTAACTTTATAAACATATGCCACAGGAAGAACAATCATATGTCGCAATACCACAAGAAGAATCATGATATATCGTAATATTTAACCATATGCCACAGAAAGAACAACGATATGTCGCAATATCTAACCAAATGCCACAAGAAGAATTGTGATATGTCGTTATATCTCACCTTATCAGGGAAAGACATGACCCATTACCGAAGAGAGTCCGACATAATAAATAAAATCGTCTCCGATATGTTGAAGATGTTCACGTTGGTATAGACAAGAGCGACTGAGAGTTACAACACAAGAGCGGCTGAGAGTTACAACACAAGAGCGGCTGAGAGTTACAACACAAGAGCGACTGAGAGTTACAACACAAGAGCGTCTGAGATGCTAAATACAAAAGGGTCCTAGATGATAAGCACAGGAGCGTCTGAGATGTTAAATACAAGAGCGAATGAGATGTTAAATACAAGAGCGAATAAGATGTTAAATACAAGAGAGTTTGAAATGTTAAACACAAAAGCGTCCGAGATGTTTAATACAAGAGCGTCTGAGATGTTAAACACAAGAGCGTCTGAGATGTTAAATACAAGAGCGTCTGAGATGTTAAATACAAGAGAGTCTGAGATGTTAAACACAAGAGCGTCTGAGATGTTTAATATAAGAGCGTCTGTGGTGATAAATACAAGAGCGTCTGAGATGTTAAACACAAGAGCGTCTGAGATGTTAAACACAAGAGTGTCTGAGACGTAAAACACAAGAGCATCCGAGATGATTAACACAGTTGAGCATCTGAGACGTAAAACACAAGAGCACCTGAGATGTTTAACACAAGAGCGTCTGAGATGTAAAAAAACAAGAGCGTCAAAGACGTAAAACACAAGAGCATCCGAGATGTTAAACACAGGGGCGCCTGAGACGTAAAACACAAGAGCATCTGAGATGTTAAACACCAGAGCGTATCATATGTTTACAAGGGCGTCTGAGATGTTAAATACAAGAGCGTCTGAGATTTTAAACACAAGTGCGTCTGAGATGTTAAATACAAGAGCGTCTGAGATGTTAAATATAAGAGCGTCTGAGATGATAAATACAAGAGCGTCTGAGATGTTAAACACAAGAGCGTCCGAGATGTTAAATACAAGAGCGTCTGAGATGTTAAATACAAGAGCGTCTGAGATGTTTAACACAAGAGCGTCTGAGATGTTAAATACAAGAGCGTCCGAGATGTTGAACACAGATGAGCGTCTGAGATGTTAAACACCAGGGCGTATCATATGTTTACATGAGCGTCTGAGATGTGAAATACAAAAGCGTCTGAGATGATAAATACAAGAGCGTCTGAGATGATTAACACAGTTAAGCGTCTGAGACGTAAAACACAAGAGCATCTGAGATGTTAAACACAGGGGCGCCTGAGACATAAAGTACAAGAGCATCTGAGATGTTAAACACAAGAGCCTCTGAGACGTAAAACACAAGAGCATCTGAGACGTAAAACACAAGAGCGTCCGAGATATAAAAATCAAGAGCGTCTGAGACGTAAATCACAAGAGCGTCTGCGATGTTAAACACAAGAGCATCTGAGACGTAAAACACAAGAGCGTCTGAAACGTAAAACACATGAGCGCCTGAGACATAAAGTACAAGAGCATCTGAGATGTTAAACACAAGAGCGTCTGAGACGTATAACACAGGGGCGTCTGAGACGTAAATTCAAAGGAGGGTCTGAGACGTAAATTCACAGGAGCGTCTGAGACGTAAAACACAAGAGCGCCTGAGACGTAAAACACAAGAGCGTCCGATACGTAAAACACAAGAGCATCTGAGACGTAAAACACAAGAGCATCTGAGATGTTAAACATGGGGGCGTCTGAGATGTTAAACACAGGGGCGTCTGAGATGTTAAACACGGGGGCGTCTGAGACGTAAAACACGGGGGCGTCTGAGATGTTAAACACGGGGGCGTCTGAGATGTTAAACACAAGAGCGTCTGAGATGTAAAACACTACAGCGTCTGAGCGGGCAAAACTAAACAGTAATCTATGCACATCAACAAGCAGTAGGCAGGCAAGCAGGAGAACGTCTTGTCGGCACATTGAAGGTATGAAGTCTGCCCGACATACAGAGGCAGGTTCAATGCTTACATGTCGCAATTAAAGCTACCGTTTGTAATTCACTTAAAGTGACATAGTGAAATCGACAGTAATATCAAAATATTCCTCACTCACTCAGCAATAGAGCCACTGATCCAGGGTCGCAAGGTATAGCGGCTCCTGATTACCTACCACATCAACTACTGTGTGGGGACCATACACCGAGGCGCATCGTAGTGTTTTATATAGGGAAACAAGGTAGGATTTGGGTTCGCCCTATCAATATTCGCTGCGTTAGTGTTCCAAGTCATGTGGTAACTTAAACAAATGCGAGCATGACATTTGTGAGCAGCATACCTCGGAAGTGTCGAAACCTGTTTAGTTGCAATACGGAAACAACCGTGTCAACAATAATATTGAATTCCTTCATCTTTTTTCGTTTCTCGTTTGACTTAAAAGAAATCATAATGCAATTTTTCCAATAATTTATAAACATTGCATACAGCTACATGTACCACCCCTCTCGCACACAACACACATCACAGCATTGCCTGTAAATAATATGTAATAGATTGATACGCGTGTCAAAACATGTGATTAAACTAAGTAGCAATAAACTGTAATAAACAAGCACTGTGTGAATAAAATAATACAAATCAATATTTATTCCCCGACAGAACAACACAGTCAATGTGACCTGTGCCAAATGTAACGTTACATAACAACTCATGCTGTCATTAAAAGTACGAGGTTCATATTGTGGCAAGTCATGAAACTCAATATATAACAAATCCAATGCTTCTATATATCAGGCTTCATTAATCAATATATTGAACACTGTATTTAAGACTGTGACAAAATAGCCTTGTCTCACCTGGGAAAACATTTATGTTTTGTTGCCGTGAAGCGACTGCAGCACCACAAACACTGTCAACTGTGGCGCTTCTCGCCCTCACTCGTTCTCTCTCTCTACTCGTGTTTTCTTTAACACTTTCTCCCGTCATGCAATCCCTGCACCTAGTAATACGTACGCTCGTCAATGAGCGTGACCTGCTTAGTTCTGATTGGCTGCTGACAGAACAGAGTCGACCAATCAGCGAACACAAATAGACGGAAGAAAATGTGGCCGGTTGATAGAGGTGTGTGTCATGTTAACAAAATGTCATTAGCGACAGACGGGCCTGTAGCACACAGGTAGCAGGCTAGCTGAACACTGAATCTATGAAACTAAAACATTAATCCATACCCCACATCTCAAAACCACCCTGCTCGTGTACAATGGTCGAACTGTGACAAGCGTTTATCTCATATAAATGCTTCTCCCCCTGCCGTCGGCCGACATTCGTATATCATCCCGTCACATTAACTGATTGATATTCTTGCCTCAGGGTAGGTGTGTTCTGTTTATAGGAAAGCGCTGGGACGACGACGGGAAGGTGGTAGGTGTTGTGGGAGACATTCTCTGTGTGAGGCCAGGCTAGGGTTAGGCAGCACATCGAGATATTTAGCTTGGTGAATGCGATAAACATCAACACTGCACTCAATTCAGGAATTATCGAACACCGTTATTTATGCCCGGCTGTCAATAAACGTTTACTTATACGTATGTATTTCACCTATGTGTTTATGTAATAAAGTCACACATCTATCTATCTATCTATCTATCTATCTATCTATCTATCTATCTATCTATCTATCTATCTATCACTGATACAGAACTATGCTTTTTCAATACTTATTTTGAATGTATATCATTGTTTTATAGTGTAAGGCGATATATCATTGTTACGGTTGTATATAATCGTTACAGAGAGATTATAGTTATATATCATTGTTAAATAGAATTATGGTTATATATCATCCATACGGCATTTTTTTCAATTTCTTTATTCAACGTACTGAGGAGGCCACAGGCCTATAGTACAATCATGATTACAGGAGCAATTGGTACAATCATATAATTTCCAAACTTGATTTTCTTTGTATAAAAGCATGATATATGTACATAGAAAGATTTCTTATGGTTTCGATGTTGCTAGTGGTCAGTAATAGTTTAAACTTAAATGTACAATGGTTTATATGAAAATATTTTGGTAAATATACTTTTCTTAGTTCATCATAATGCGGGCATACTAGTAAAAAGTGATACTCGTCCTCAATTAATCCTAGGTCACATAGTGGACAGAGTCTATTTTCTCTCGGAATATTTTTATCCATCCATACGGCAAAAGGGCAACAGTGAAATTATTTTCTGAGCATATTATGTTTTCATTCATGCTGACTGTCTCCTTCACGCCTACTGGTCCGTTGTTTTGTTTGCAGGTCACAGTAACGAAACAGCATAATAACGGATTGGCGCAGATAATCTGCTGATGTCGTTCATTGGCCATGACGTCACCGACAGTTGTTTATGTGGCGTCGCTCCACAACGAACTGACAGTTATTCCTTTAAACGTAAGTACAAAAAGATCAACTGTCAAGCTGTGTATACGTAAGTAGGTATCAGGTATTATAATCATGTGTGCATGCTATTGTCTCTTAGATATGTTTGTGGGATTTGTGTTACAGACGGAATATGTTTTCGGTCTTCACTTCGTCCAAATAATAAAATATTACGTGTGATCTGTGGGTCTAAAGATGTCTTCACGACACATTAAACGGGACATCTAGCACGTTTCCACAATCACAATTGTGTTTTCCAGGATGTTCTCGACGAAATTATACCCTCCATAAAACTGCAAGCGATTAAGTCATCCAATGTCAGTCTGAGTGAGGACGGCGAGGTTCACGTGCACATTCAAACAGTTATGAAAACAGATCATATCTGAACTCATCGATTATTCTTTAATTGAGTTATGTTTTTATTTTGCAATTTTAACCTTGCCTGAAGCTAAATATTTCAATATGTCAAGTTCAATTTCCTGTGTGTTGTTTTTGTAATAGTTTTACACCACAGTCAACCATATTTCTGCAATATCCCAGCTTTATCATTGCGGCCCGGGTAAGACAAACCAGTGGTCGATATCATGACCAACGCCCCATGGAGCCAGGGTACATTAACTGTCACACACACCACAGGAGTGGGATCACACCGTCACCGTCATCATCACAGTCACGTTACACCAAAGCCTGATTCTGATTTTATTCTACTATTAAGACAAGCATTAAATCCCGACCCGGAATTCACTGTGAATTAAATTGCCGGGATATATAACACTTACCTTACTTAGACAACATTCCACACGGCCATTCCGGAATTATAACTAAAGTAGTATGCATGTATTCCTGAAACAATGATCAATTCCGCTGAATCTACCAGGATAATAAGAAGTATTACATCCGTGTGATATGAGTATAAATGATCGACTAATAATAGACTCTATAAATCGCCAGAGCAATAACTTTTCGCCTGTCCTTTGGTTAAAGCCTTGACCTGACCCCTGAAACAACTGGACTACTGGTATGTATACATTCATCAAACACGTATATAAAATGTCAAGGCCAGAAAATGACCGGTCTAGTTTTTCCGACGAAATATATCCTGTTGGGCACGTAGTCTGGTGATGACATCATTAGCATTATGACGTAAGAACGTAACGTCATGTTATGCGATGACTTTCTCCACATCTTTAGACATGAGAAAATATTATTTTTCTTGAAATGAATATGTTGCTCCTTGGTAATCACGTGGAACGATTCAACCTTCAGTTGAAATAAAAACAACCAACAAAAAACATTTCCATAATCATAAGAAATCTCTACCAAAAGTAGAGTTCAGCAGAATATACAACAATTTGTTTGTAGTAGTAACATATGACAGATAGTGGTCAACTTGGAGTTCCACTGTTCTTTCTATTGCACTGATCGTAATTTTGACGGTGACATCTACCTGGTCATAACTGGTTAAAACTAATTTAAACTTACTTTGGAAACATATTCTAACACATCGCACTTAGTTCGCTTGTTTTAGTTTAATAGTTTGTTAGGGACAAAACAGTTAATCGATGTGCCATAATCTACGTCTGATTCAAAATTTTCTTCGTTAATCTTGTGATTTGTGTCATGTGTGTTTGTGTCATGTGACTGTATGTCATCTGCGTTTGTGTCATGTGACTGTATGTCATATGTGTTTGTGTCATGTGTCTGTATGTCATCTGTGTTTGTGTCATGTGACTGGACGTCATTTGTGTTTGTGTAATGTGACTGGACGTCATCTGTGTTTTTGTCATGTGTCTGTACGTCATCTGTGTTTGTGTCATGTGACTGTGCACCAACTCTGTTTGTGCCATGTGTCTGTACTTCATCTGTGTTTGTGTCATGTGTCTGTACGTCATCTGTGTTTGTGTCATGTGACTGGACGTCATCTGTGTTTGTGTCATGTGACTGGACGTCATCTGTGTTTGTGTCATGTGTGTGTATGTCATCTGTGTTTGTGTCATGTGTCTGTATGTCATCTGTGTTTGTGTCATGTGACTGGACGTCATCTGTGTTTGTGTCATGTGTCTGTTCGTCATCTGTGTTTGTGTCATGTGACTGGACGTCATCTGTGTTTGTGTCATGTGACTGGACGTCATCTGTGTTTGTGTCATGTGTCTCTACGTCATCTGTGTTTGTGTCATATGACTGGATGTCATCTGTGTTTGTGTCATGTGTGTGTATGTCATCTGTGTTTGTGTCATGTGTCTGTATGTCATCTGTGTTTGTGTCATGTGACTGTATGTCATGTGTGTTTGTGTCATGTGTCTGTTCGTCATCTGTGTTTGTGTCATGTGACTGGACGTCATCTATGTTTGTGTCATGTGTCTGGACGTCATCTGTGTTTGTGTCATGTGACTGTACGTCATCTGTGTTTGTGTCATGTGACTGTACGTCATCTGTGTTTGTGTCATGTGTCTGTTCGTCATCTGTGTTTGTGTCATGTGACTGGACGTCATCTGTGTTTGTGTCATGTGACTGTACGTCATCTGTGTTTGTGTCATGTGTCTGTTCGTCATCTGTGTTTGTGTCATGTGACTGTACGTCATCTGTGTTTGTGTCATGTGACTGTACGTCATCTGTGTTTGTGTCATGTGTCTGTTCGTCATCTGTGTTTGTGTCATGTGTCTGGACGTCATCTGTGTTTGTGTCATGTGACTGTACGTCATCTGTGTTTGTGTCATGTGTCTGTTCGTCATCTGTGTTTGTGTCATGTGACTGGACGTCATCTGTGTTTGTGTCATGTGACTGGACGTCATCTTTGTTTGTGTCATGTGTCTGTACGTAATCTGTGTTTGTGTCATATGACTGGACGTCATCTGTGTTTGTGTCATGTGTGTGTATGTCATCTGTGTTTGTGTCATGTGTCTGTATGTCATCTGTGTTTGTGTCATGTGACTGTATGTCATATGTGTTTGTGTCATGTGTCTGTTCGTCATCTGTCCTTGTGTCATGTGACTGGACGTCATCTGTGTTTGTGTCATGTGTCTGGACGTCATCTGTGTTTGTGTCATGTGTCTGGACGTCATCTGTGTTTGTGTCATGTGTCTGTATGTCATCTGTGTTTGTGTCATGTGACTGTACGTCATATGTGTTTGTGTCATGTGTCTGTTCGTCATCTGTCCTTGTGTCATGTGTCTGTACGTCATCTGTGTTTGTGTCATGTGACTGTACGTCATCTGTGTTTGTGTCATGTGTCTGTTCGTCATCTGTGTTTGTGTCATGTGTCTGGACGTCATCTGTGTTTGTGTCATGTGACTGTACGTCATCTGTGTTTGTGTCATGTGACTGGACGTCATCTGTGTTTGTGTCATGTGACTGTATGTCATATGTGTTTGTGTCATGTGTCTGTTCGTCATCTGTCCTTGTGTCATGTGACTGGACGTCATCTGTGTTTGTGTCATGTGTCTGTTCGTCATCTGTGTTTGTGTCATGTGACTGGACATCATCTGTGTTTGTGTCATGTGACTGTATGTCATCTGCGTTTGTGTCATGTGACTGTATGTCATCTGTGTTTGTGTCATGTGACTGTACGTCATCTTTGTTT